CTGCTGGAGGTGCTGGAGCTGCTGGGGGTACTGGAGCTGCTGGAGCTGCTGGAGCTGCTGGTGGCACTGCTCAGCCGGGCCTGTTCTTTGCTCCGCCGTCTCCATCGTCTCAGCCACCTCCTGACTCTGCACTTCGCCAGGTTCTCAGTCTTCCCTCGTCTACTGGTCTTTCGTTACAGCCTGGCTCACCGCTGCCTGCTCCTTCTTCGTACACAGAGCAGCCTGGTGGACTTGCAGAGCGTCGTGAGCCTGTGTCGCGTCCTGTCTCCCCTGTCAGTTCCGGTCGTCGTGTTCCTCTGCCGCCTCCCCCTGCGTCCTCTCTGCCTGTCGTTGCTGACCCTGCGTCTGACCGGTTTCGTGCTGAGCACTCTACTCTCACGCGTCTGCTTGCCAATGTTGTCACTGACCCATCGTTTGAGTCTGCTGCTGCGTCTGCCTTAGTCACTGAGCTTGTTGCCTTTGCTGCTCACTGTCGTCTAGACTACGCCGCCGGTCTTGTTGCTGAGTCTGCGTCTGTCTGTCCTTCGTCCGTCGGGGGTGAGTGTGCTCTTGGCACGGACGTCCTTGAGGACAGGCAGGAGGACCTTGAGTGTCTTGCAGCCACTGCGCCTCATCTCGCGGCCATGCTGCTTGCCCCTGAGGGAGACCCGGATGCACCAGACATCCCTACCCCGCGCTCTTACGCTGAGGCGATCGCGGGTGAGTACTCCTCTCAGTGGCAGACAGCCATGGACGCAGAGATGGCATCCTAGAAGTCCACAGGCACCTACGTTGACGAGTTTCCCCCTCCTGGGGCGAACATTGTCAGTGGCATGTGGATTTTCAGGGTGAAGCGGCTGCCAGGTTCTCCGCCTGTCTTCAAGGCTCGTTACGTGGCTCGAGGCTTCAGTCAGCGAGAGGGAGTTGACTTCTTCCAGACCTTCTCCCCCACCCCGAAGATGACCACTCTTCGGGTGCTGCTGCACGTTGCCGCTCAGCGTGACTACGAGCTTCACTCTCTTGACTTCAGCACAGCCTTCTTACAGGGCAGCCTGCACGAGGAGATTTGGCTGCGCCGCCCTCCTGGCTTCACTGGGTCGTTCCCTCCTGGTACCTAGTGGAGCCTCCGGCGGCCGGTCTACGGTCTCCGCCAGGCGCCACGTGAGTGGCACGACACACTGAGGACGACACTTGCGGCTCTTGGGTTTGCTCCGTCGACTGCTGACCCGTCGCTGTTTTTGCGCACCGACACTTCGCTGCCGCCGTTCTACGTTCTCGTGTACGTCGACGACTTGGTCTTTGCCACTGCTGACACTGAGGCTCTCGCCCTGGTGAAGTCGGAGCTGCAGAAGAGACACACGTGCACAGACCTGGGTGAACTGCGCAGCTACCTTGGCTTGCAGATCACCCGGGACAGAGCACGCCGCACCATCACACTGACTCAGTCACACATGGTGCAGCAGGTCCTTCAGCGCTTCGGTTTCACCTGGTCCTCAGCACAGGCCAATCCTCTGGCTACTGGTCACTCGCTCTCAGCTCCACCTTCGGACGAGTCCGTAGAGCCGAGTGGTCCTTAACCAGAGTTAGTGGGCTGCCTCATGTACCTGATGACTTGCACTCGTCCTGACCTTGCGTACCCTCTTGGCCTTCTGGCTCGCTACGTGGCTCCTGGTCGGCACCGAAAGGTGCACATGGATGCTGCCAAGAGGGTACTACGCTACTTGTGCAGTACATCGGGGATGGGGCTCGTGCTTGGAGGACGGGGTGACGTTGTCCTCACTGGTCACTCGGACGCCTCTTGGGTTGACGACCAGGCTACGCAGCGGTCGTCACAGGGTTACACCTTCAGCCTTGGCTCTGGTTCATTTTCTTGGCGTTCTACACGCTCGTCTTCAGTTCTCGGCTCCAGTTGTGAGGCTGAGATCTACGCCACAGCCATGGCTGCACAGGAGCTTCGCTGGCTCACCTACCTGCTGACTGACTTGGGAGAGCGGCCTAGTTCTCCTCCAGTGCTGTACGTCGACAACAAGGCCGCCATTGCCTTGTGTCAGGAGCACAGACTGGAGCACAGAACGAAGCACATCGCTCTCTGTTACTTTCTTGCTCGAGAGCTGCAACAGCGTGACCAGCTTCGTCTTGCTTACGTGGCCACTCGGGCCAACACTGCTGATACATTCACCAAGGCGCTTCCGCCTGGTGATCATCAGCGTTTCTGCACTTTGTTAGGCCTTGTGCCCACTCTTCCTCACTTGCTGTAGGCTTTGTTTGTACCATGATTTATATGTATTCCTGCATGCTTGTTCTTCTAGGTAGATATCACTGTACTGTTGTTGTTACATATATATTTCTGCATGTGAACTGGCCTTGTGGCCTTCTTGCTTGTGCTCAGACTGCGTGGTGACGTTGTGATCCACCCTGAGCTTGCTTTGAAATTCCTGACTGGTCTTGTGACCCTCTGTTCTCCCCCACTTTGCCTATGGGGGTGTGTCAAACATATGTGTATATATGTTATAGGTTGGTTAGGCTTAGTGGGGTACTCACTGTGGGGTACAACCCCTTAGGTTTCTCCTTTGTACTTTTTCCCCTCGATAGTCGACACTCACTTCTCCCGTAAGATTCTAACATACTGCTCCGTGCCTATCCCGATGGATGACGAAAATCCTCGCGAAAGCGTCAACGCCGAAACCTATTTCGACTTCACCGACACCGGTTACGTTACACCTCAACCGGTCGACACCAACATCTCCGAACGCATAGGACCAAATTTCTTACCAGACCCCGAAGCAGGAGACGAAGCAGTTTATCCAGAGGACACAAATCTCCCCCGCTACACACAGAGTGGCCTGCAGATACTGGGACTCGTCACCGCAGTCCACGGAGCGGAACCACCTAAGGAGCCTGCGACAATTCAGCAGGCTCTGGGGTGGGAACACAGGGAAAAATGGCGTGAAGCCATGGATAAAGAGCTGAAGGCGCTGCAGGAACGCAACACCTGGAAAGTCGTGCCTATCGAAGTGGCACGCAACAAAACTGTCCTCACGGGAAAATGGGTTTTCCGCGTGAAAACAAAAGCTGACGGAACAATCGACAAGTTCAAAGCACGCTGGGTCGTGCGGGGCGTCGACCAAGAGCAAGGGCGAGATTTCACGGAAACATTCGCCCCAGTAAGCCGACATACCTCACTGCGGATTCTCCTCGCAATCGCCTCCATGAACCGAAAGAAGCTTCGACAAATTGATGTCGCCAACGCCTTCCTCTACGCCCCCGTCGACGCTGAGATTTTCGTCGAACTCCCACACGGATCCAACGCAGGCCCCAACCAAATATGTCAACTGGAGAAGTCACTGTACGGGATTAAGCAAGCCCCGAGACTCTGGCAGCAGCACCTTCACGCCCGCCTCATTCGCATCGGATTTCTCCAGCTACCACACGACCAAGGGATGTATCGACTGGCAGAAGGCACCGACTACATCCTACTCATCGTCTACGTCGATGATCTTCTCTACATAGGCTCTACCAATGCAGTAGCAACGTGGTTTGAAGGGGAGCTGCAAGGAGATCTAACCCTCACCGTTGCAACCACCGTGACACAGTACCTAGGACTGAACATCGAAGACGGCGACAATGCCATCTACCTCAGCGCTGCAAAATACTCGGACACTATTGCTAAACGCTTCGAACTCACCCCAACCACTATCTCCACGCCATACCGCTACACCGACGGAAATCGGAAGGCCTCCGCTCTACTCAAACCTGCTGGCGTCCGCGACTACCAAAGGAAGCTAGGCTGCCTACTCTTCGCAGCCGTCACCTGCCGACCGGATCTATCCTACTCAGCTAGCCAACTCGCTACCTACCTCAAGAAGCCTGAAGCAGGTCACATGCTCGAACCCGACCGAGCACTTCACTACCTCGTTAGTACTCCGACGATCGGACTCACCTACCACAAAACCAGCACCGCGACACCTAAGCTAATCGGCTACGTCGACGCCGACCACGCTGGAGATTCAGACAACAGACGGTCTCGAGCCGGCTACGTCTACAGACTCGAACCTATCGGGCCTATCTCTTGGCAGTCGAACAAGCAAGAGCTAATTGCTCTCTCGTCAGCAGAAGCATAATATATCGCACTCTGCTCAGCAACCAAGGAAGGGCTATATCTTCACGAACTACTGGAGGAAGCAAAATTGGCCCAGTTACCCAATTTATCTCTCTTCTGCGACAACCAATCGGCCATTCGCATAGCGAACAAAAACGGGTTCGCGAATCGAACGAAGCACATCGCCCTTCGGTACTTCTTCGTGAAAGACGAGATCGAAAAGGGAAGACTCGAACTATCCTACTGTCCCACATCCGAGATGGCAGCTTACTACTTGACCAAGAAACTCGGAAAACAAAAGTTCGAGTACTGCATGCTGCTGACTGGACAAGGACACGTCATCAGCAACGATCCTCCATAAGCGAAGGGGAGTGTTGGAAACAAGTGATTTATAACGCTTCTGTCGTATCGAAGCTTCGACACAAAACGGAACTGACTACAGAGAAGAAGCACCCGAGTCAACCGTCGGAGGTTACGCGAAGGTCAAAGGTCTCCAACCTTTGACCTGACGAAACGTACAGTGCGACAGCAAGGACACATAACTGACTTGTTACTGAGGAGTTACCCGAGTCGGCACTGTATCGAACCGTAACAGCAAAAACAGTTAAAGTAGAACTTTTCATATTCCTTGTAATCATATAAAAAGCTTGTATCTCTTTGTTATTATCAACTTATCTTGTTCTCACAAACTAGCACAAGGTGGTTCACGACAACTCTTTATTAAACGCTTCCGCTGTTACAACTCCACGTCAACACCCGATCTTAGTCCTGAAAAGTTCTTAAGGGCTTTTCTCAGCCCAACAGTATGGACGAATAGAGCAGTCCTTGCACCCCAAGCCACCAGTATGTACAGTACACAGCACACATGTGAACATGGCACTGCATGTGAACATGGCACTGCATGTGAACATGACACTGGCAGCTAGAGCGAGGTGAAGGGCAGTGAGGAAGCATCGGGGAAGGTGTGGTCGAGGAGGGCGTAGGTGCCGGTGGCGAGCAGCAGGGCGCCACTGGCGGGGTTGATCCACAGCGCGTGCTGCCTCAGCGCCAGCAGGCGCTTGAGCGCTCCTGTGAATGCCGCTGCTAGCATGAGCGGCGACACAAAGCCCAGCGTGTACACCAGCAGCAGTGCCCCCCCCAGCACCGCGTCCTGCCATGCACACACACAGGGGTGATAGCACGGGAAAGGGGGGTGGTGGTGCAGTGTGAGGCACGGGAAAGGGGGGTGGTGGTGCAGTGTGAGGCACGGGAAAGGGGGGTGGTGGTGCAGTGTGAGGCACGGGAGCAGGAGTGAGACAGAGAGGCCCAACGACAAGGAGGAGTAAAGGAGGTGTCCGGAGAAAGCAGCAGTACAAAGTGGTGAGAACGAACATTAACATCCACCCTTCCCTGCCTGCACTCACCCCGGTGGACGCCTGCACTCACCCCGGTGGACGCCACGTAGGCCAGCAGCGACGCCAGCACGGGCGTGGCGCATGGCGACGCCACGAAGGCAAAGGCGCCGCCCGCGAGGAGCATCTGCACCGCACTGGGGAGGCGCGCCGCCGCCTGCTTGGCGTCGAAGCCGCCGAAGGCGGAGGGCAGGCGGAGAGGCAGCAGGCCGAGCAGGTTGAGCCCCATGGCCACCGCCACGCCCCCCGCCACCACCGGCAGCACCCCCGCCACCACGCCCCCTGCGCCACCCCCCGCCGCCTGCCCGTACGCGCGCCCCGCGAGCGCCGCCGCGACGCCCATGGCGGCGCGCGTGGCGGCGAGGCCGAGCGCGAAGCAGGCGGCGTCAGTGGCGATGAGGGCGCGCGGCTTGGCGGACTGGAAGCCGGCGATGTAGCCGACGGTGAGCGGACAGCGTGCACGGCGACAGCGACGCGAGCTCCAGCGACACGAGGCGGTCCGACAGGTGCGCCGCGGCGAAGAGCGCGTCGTCGACGGCGTCCCACGCGGCGGAGAGGTCCAGCGCCGCCAGGGGGAGCGCGGGGAGGGGCAGCGCGACGACGGCGGATGCGGCGAGCGGGGCAGGCAAAGGGGCAAGCAGGGATGCGGCGACGGCGGGAGGCGTCAAGGCGGAGAAGGTGAGGGCGATGGCGGAAGGGGGGAGCGCGAGGGAGAGGAGGGCGGAGAAGAATGCGGGAGGAAGGAGAGGCGCGGCCGAGGAGGGAGGCTGCGCGCCCTCGCTGCCACCATCGTCATGCGCGCCTGCTGCGCGGGCGGCTGGAAGGGCAACGGCAACGCGCGCGATAATTTCTGGCTCACGCCCTTGCGCGCTCTCCCCACATAGCCGTGTGGCTTCTTCGGCCGGCGCTGCAGCGGGGAGCGCGCGGGCGGCTGCGAGGCAAAGGCGCGGGCGGCGCGAGAGCAGCCGGCTGGAGGAGGTGCCGGGGGGACCAGAGGAGAGCGCGACGCGCGACACGGGTGGCGAGCGGCAGCGGTGACGGTGGGCCAGCCCAGTCTCTGCGGTAAGAGGGGCGCCGCGAGGCGCGGCGACTGCCATGCGCGACGTGCGGGTGGAATGCGGCGTGGCGTGTGGGGCTGGACGCGTGGCACGCGAGGGTGGCAGTGTGTTGAGTGTGGGAGTGCCCATGCAATGAGAAGTCTGACGACATTTTGCGAAACCTGGTTGGAGTTACCCTGAGATGTACATCTGAAGAAGAGTTAGCGTGTATACGATGTGGATAAATAACACAAGAGGATGACTGCTTATAGAGTACACGTGCTTGCTGCTGTTTTCTGCTTCCACACACACACAAGCCCAACACTCCAAGCCGAGTTGAGAATTGAAAATCTCAACGTCTGCTGTCCCGCTGCATCAGATCCGTGCCTTTCGATCACTGCTAAAGTGATTTATCGCAATCTAGATTCTTCCGATCTAACTCGCTTCCACCGAGACCCTTGCGCTCTTCGAGTGCGGCGCGCACGCGGGGAAGCACGACGCGCACGCGGGGAAGCATGGCGCGCGAGGTGCAGATGGCGGACGGCGGCGACGACCCCAAGGCGACGCCCGAGGGAGGGGCGGGCGACGGGCGCGATGCGAAAGGCGAAGGGCAGACCAGCGCGCCGCAGACGCCGCAGCAAGTTCTGGCAGGTGGGCGGCCCGCGGGGTGCAGCAGGACGGGTGGGATTCGGGTGGAGGGAGCCTGCGCGGCGTGCGTGGGAGTGGATGATTGGCTTCGTTCGTTCGGCAGTTGTGCGTGTGGCTGCTGCACGCCGCGGCCAGCATCCGTCCATGTCGGATCGCACTCGCCCGTCTTGAATTTCACCCGTCCGCGTCAGTTCTGATCCGTACATCTCCTGCTTTCCTCGCTGCTTCTTCTCACCCGATTTTCTCGAATGCTTTCGCCTCTCCCCTCTCCTCTCCCGCGCCTTCCCGCGGTCGTGGTGGGCGCAGAGCTGCAGGCGCAGAGGCCGCTGGTGGAGCGCGCGGTGGTCACGCGCGAGGTGCGCGTGATGGCGCGCGCAGTGCGCGCCATGCTGGCGCTCCGCAGGCGGCTGACGGGCGGCGTCGTGCGCGCGTTCGTGCGCGCTAACGTGCACAGCGAGGCGGACGCGCACTCCACGCTGCTGGCGCTGCTGGCGCAGGTGAGAGCGGCGCGGGGAGTGTAGCGGGGACTGGTGTGAGGCGCCCAGGGGTGAGGCGAACAGGGGAGGCGGGGAGATTGGGACAGGTGAGTGGGGAATGGCATCTGTGTGAGTTTTCTTTGCATGTCCTTACGTGGTGGTTGCAGCGAAGCAAATGATTTGTGCTCCTCCCCCCTGCGTCTTTGCTCACAGAAGGTCCTCGACACTTGTGCATTCTTACGTTTCAATGCTTGGTGGGTCGTGCATGGGGCATGAGGGCATGGGGCATGGGGCATGGGGCATGGGGCATGGGGCATGGGGCATGGGGTGTGGGGCGTAGGGCGTGGGGCGTGGGGCATGGGGCATGGGGCATGGCACGCGGGGCGTGGGGCATGGGGCATGGCATGTGAGGCGTGGGGCATGGGGCATGGCCTGTGGGTGGGGCATGGGACATTGCATGGGGCATGGGGCATGGAACATGGCATGGGGCATGAGGCATGGCATGGGGCATGGGGCATGGGGCATGGCATGGGGGGGCGCAGGTGGACACGGACGAGGACATGGAAGGCGGGGCGGACGCCCCCTCGCCCGCACCACCTGCATCCGCGGAAGGCGCGTCCACGTCGGTTGCAGCAGCAGGGGTGGGGGCGGGTGTGGTGCGGGCTACGTGGCTACCGGAGGTGGAGATGTTCTCCTTCCTCACGGCGCTCGTGCTGCTCATCGACCGCAAGGCCTTCCCCCTCGTGCGCCCCGCGCCCCTCTCTTGCTGCCCGCTTGCTGCGTGCCTTCTCTCTTGACGCCTCTATGTACTCTCATGCTGCTCTGCTGTGCTGTGCTGTGCTGTGCTGCCTCAATCATGCGCCACCAGAGGTGCCCCATGCTCTTGTCCCATGCCATACCACGCGCACCCACAACTGCCTTCTCACCACCACCCCACCCCCGTGGTGCAGGCGTGTGAGTGTGCGTGGGCGGCGGTGCGGCGTCTGCAGCAGGTGAACCGGCGCACGTTGGACGTGTTGGGGGCGCGCATCTACTTCTACTTCTCCCTCGCGCACGAGCGCACCACCGCCCTCGCCTCCATCCGCAGGTACCCCCGTTCCCCCCCCTTTCCTTCCTCCCCCACCACCACACATGCTGCCTCTTCCAGTCGTTGCAGTGTCAATTGTGCCGCTTCCTCCTCCCCTTTCCTCCAGCCTTCACACCTTCGGTTCCTCCCTTGTAGCCCCTGCCCTTCTGCCACCCCCTCTCTCGCATCTCTCGCTGACAGCAACCCCTTCCTTGCCCCTCCGCCCCTCCGCCCCCCTCCCCCTTCCCCACGGCAGCACGCTGCTGGCGGCGTTTCAGACGGCCACGCTGCGCCACGACGAGATCGGGCAGGTCAGCCCGCGTGCATGCTGCATGGGAGGGGGGCATGGGGGGGGGGGGAGGGGCGTGGGGGGTGCAGGGGCCATGGCACAAGTGTTCTGGGGACAGGTTGAGTCTGGGGCAGGGGAAAGTGTTGAGGTGGCAGGTCGGGGTTTCGAAGGGGCACGGGTGACGGTGGTTGGTGGGGTGGTGACAGGACATGGAGAGGAGGGGTGAGGGGGCATGGACACGTAGGGTTTGAGGCTGCACGGGTCCTGAGGGCGGGCTCTCGAGGGAATTGGGCAGGTAGGGTGAATGGGCAGGTAGGGTGAATGGGCAGGTAGGGTGAATGGGCAGGTAGGGTGAATGGGCAGGTAGGGTGAATGGGCAGTAAGGAAGTGAGGGGAGAGAAGCAGGTGGGCAGGGCAGTTAGTTGCTGAGATGGTTTTTTCAATCTATAACGTTGTGTGCTGCCTGGGCATGTGTGTGTGTGCTGCACGACATGGCATGGCATGGCATGGCATGGCATGGCATGGCAGGAGATGCTGTTGAACCTGCTGCTGCGCAACTACCTGGCGTACAACCTGTACGACCAGGCTGACAAGCTGCGCTCCAAGGCTCTCCGCCCCGACTCCCACTCCAACCAGCAGGTGCGCCCACTCCCACTCCAACCAGCAGGTGTCACTTCCGCTGTCTCTTTTGCTTTGTACTCGCTCGTTTCTGCTCCACTGCCTCAACTCTTCTCCCTGCTCCCTCCTGCTCTCCCCCGTGCTCACTTCCCTGCTCTCCTCCCTGCTCCTCGCCATACTCGTCTCACCACACACCATCCTCGCTCACCACCCCCCCCCCCCTGTGAGCGGAGTGCAGCTGTGCCGGCAGCTTTACTACGTGGGGCGCATAGCAGCGGTGCAGCTAGAGTACAGCGCGGCCAAGGACTGTCTGCAGCAGGCGGCGCGCAAGGCACCGGCGGCGGCGCTGGGGTTCCGCACGGAGTGCACGCGGTGGCACGTGCTGGTGCGCCTGCTGCTGGGGGAGATCCCCGAGCGCCACCTCTTCGTGGCGCCCGGCATGCGCTCCGCACTGCTGCCCTTCTTCCAACTCACCAATGTGAGGCCCTTCTTCCAACTCACCAATGTGAGGCGACGCACTCGCGTATGCCGTTCGTTTAGCCACTCCTCTTGCATGCTTGAACTCCTCTTGCATGTCCATTCACCTCCCTGCATGTCCATTCACCTCCCTGCATGTCCATTCACCTCCCTGCATGTCCATTCACCTCCCTGCATGTCCATTCACCTCCCTGCATGTCCATTCACCTCCCTGCATGTCCATTCACCTCCCTGCATGTCCATTCACCTCCCTGCATGTCCATTCACCTCCCTGCATGTCCATTCACCTCCCTGCATGTCCATTCACCTCCCTGCATGTCCATTCACCTCCCTGCATGTCCATTCACCTCCCTGCATGTCCATTCACCTCCCTGCATGTCCATTCACCTCCCTGCATGTCCATTCACCTCCCTGCATGTCCATTCACCTCCCTGCATGTCCATTCACCTCCCTGCATGTCCATTCACCTCCCTGCATGTCCATTCACCTCCCTGCATGTCCATTCACCTCCCTGCATGTCCATTCACCTCCCTGCATGTCCATTCACCTCCCTGCATGTCCATTCACCTCCCTGCATGTCCATTCACCTCCCTGCATGTCCATTCACCTCCCTGCATGTCCATTCACCTCCCTGCATGTCCATTCACCTCCCTGCATGTCCATTCACCTCCCTGCATGTCCATTCACCTCCCTGCATGTCCATTCACCTCCCTGCATGTCCATTCACCTCCCTGCATGTCCATTCACCTCCCTGCATGTCCATTCACCTCCCTGCATGTCCATTCACCTCCCTGCATGTCCATTCACCTCCCTGCATGTCCATTCACCTCCCTGCATGTCCATTCACCTCCCTGCATGTCCATTCACCTCCCTGCATGTCCATTCACCTCCCTGCATGTCCATTCACCTCCCTGCATGTCCATTCACCTCCCTGCATGTCCATTCACCTCCCTGCATGTCCATTCACCTCCCTGCATGTCCATTCACCTCCCTGCATGTCCATTCACCTCCCTGCATGTCCATTCACCTCCCTGCATGTCCATTCACCTCCCTGCATGTCCATTCACCTCCCTGCATGTCCATTCACCTCCCTGCATGTCCATTCACCTCCCTGCATGTCCATTCACCTCCCTGCATGTCCATTCACCTCCCTGCATGTCCATTCACCTCCCTGCATGTCCATTCACCTCCCTGCATGTCCATTCACCTCCCTGCATGTCCATTCACCTCCCTGCATGTCCATTCACCTCCCTGCATGTCCATTCACCTCCCTGCATGTCCATTCACCTCCCTGCATGTCCATTCACCTCCCTGCATGTCCATTCACCTCCCTGCATGTCCATTCACCTCCCTGCATGTCCATTCACCTCCCTGCATGTCCATTCACCTCCCTGCATGTCCATTCACCTCCCTGCATGTCCATTCACCTCCCTGCATGTCCATTCACCTCCCTGCATGTCCATTCACCTCCCTGCATGTCCATTCA